TTGGTCAGTAAACTGACCAGCTGGTGCCACACTTTAACCAGATCTAAATAAATAAAATAAATGTAGTAGAGGGGAGTGGAGAAAACGTCACCCTTCTTCCTCCATCTCACATCCTTATTGCAACACACCCACACACACACACACACACACACACAGGTTTGTTTTGCTATCTTTGTGTGGCCTTTGCATTGACTTCCATTCATTTTTCATTCATTTCTATAGCCTAACCATGACCTTTATCCATAACCTAACCATTACCAGTACATACCTAACCCTAAACCTAACACATCCTCAATTCACACCTTAGTCCTAAACCTAGCCCCTAACCCACCAACGGGACTTCTTCTTATGGGGCCCGGGCTTTGGGCCCCATAAGGAGCAGTTGGTCCTCACAATGTAGTATAAGTTGGAAAAATGGGCCTCACAAAGTAGCATAAACAAGGACACACACACACACACACACACACATATATATATATATATATGGTATGGTATAAAGTTTATTCATTTAAAAAAAGTACAAAACAATTCCATAACAATATAAAAAAGATACAAAAGATTTAAAATGAAAGGCAGCAGAAAGAAGAAAAAATCTTATTATATCTGCCCCTTTTTTCAAACAATTAGTTCAATCATAATAATTTTCAAGTAACAGAACAAAATGAATAACTCTTTCTAATTTTTCTAATTCTAATACAAAACACACACTAATCTACTTCATATATACTTTTTTTTTTTAACAATTCAGCTTTGATCTTTTTCTTAAATGTACACATTGACTTGGCATTTTTAACATCACTCTAGACCATTCCACAATCCAACTCCTTGGACTGAGGTAGACCTTCCCTTCAGACTAGTTCTGAATTTTGGTTTGACAAATATCTCTATGCCCTTAAGATTATAGCAACTTTGTCTTTTAACAAAATTTCTTAGGATATTTAATGGTAATGTGTTATTTTGAGCCCTATACATAACTGATAAAATACTGTAATCTACCAAATCATGGAACATCAATAACTTCAGTTGATAAAATAATGTGCTTGATGGGTGACTGTAATGCTTTCTGGTGATAATTCTTACAGCTCTTTTCTGTAAAATAAAAATAGGTTTTGTAAATGTTTTACACGCTTTCCCCCAAACATCATTGCAATAGATTAAATGTGGAACAATGATTGTGTTATACAACATGTACAGAGCTTTATCATTTAATAATTCCCTGACTTTGTATAGTACTGCAATAGATTTAGATATTTTTGTTCTTACAGAATTTATGTGGTTTTTCCATGTTAGCTGTTCATCAATGATTACACCCAAAAATTTCATCTCATTAACTCTACAAATCTCAACACCCTCAATTTTAAATGGATCATCAACTGTTCTCTTTTTGTTACTAAATATCATGTTTTATCTCAATTTAATGATAATTTATTAAGTTTAAACCAAGTTTGTATTTTATCAAATTCTGTCTTCATCAATTCCAACATCCGTTTTACATTTTTACCCAATCAAAAAAATATGGTGTCATCTGCAAAAAGGACACATTTGAGGAGTCCTGATACATTCATTAAGTCATTCACATATAAAATAAATAACTTTGGTCCAAGTACAGAGCCTTGAGGAACGCCACAAGTGATATTGCACAGGTCAGATCTTACACCATTTATTTGAACAAGCTGTTTCCTATCTTTTAAATAGCTAGATACCCAGTGTAATGCTGGTCCTCTTATACCATATTTATTTAATTTTTCAAGGAGAATAGTGTGGTCAATAG